TTTTCATAAAATAGATGAAAATCATCTGATAGAAATACCTGATGTCATGAAAACATATAAAGATGAACAGATTCCTAATCTAATGGATATCAAAAGTAAGTCCGACACAAATGTTGTAAATAATGACCATGAGCAATCAAACAAAACTAATAACGGAACCTCAAATTTATTGTTTGGACATAAAGAATTTTCTCATTTTTCTCGTCACATAGACAAAAGTCAACTCGATCCGGCTGAAACTATAAAAAATGAGACAAATTCTGAAGGACAGACTGATGTTAGTTCGATGACTGATAACAATGAAAGCGGTGATGAAAGCAAAAGCCAACTATGTAAACTTAATTCTGTTAATGTTCCTGATCCTTCAATTCCAATGACAATGTTTTGTTCGTTTTCGGATGAGCTCGCTGTCAATGACTGGAAGACTGACAAAAGTAATCTTGATGGAGAAGAAGGTGGAACGTCTATTAAAATGCAACAGTATGGTATCGTTTGCGAAAGTAATCAGCACATTTTTGAGGAGAAAGACATGAGTGATACTCAGAAATTGCATGAGATGACACACCATTCTCTAGAATACGACGGTGATTATACTGGTGAGAAAGTTAGTGAGAATGAAAGTCCCGATAACACACATATTTCTATGTCCGATGGCAGTGAAAAAGTGGATGTTTTGTGTCATGACTATACAGAAGATATCCAGGAAGAGGCCAAAGTGGACTTCAAAAATGAAGTAGAAATGAGTTTGAACAACATGCAAACGACGGCATCAACAGCTGAACATATACATGTAAATTCTACAGCAGCTACTTTTGACGTAAATAAGGAAGATGTTACTAAAGAGACTCTTGTAGTAAAAAATGAAAAGGATACAAAAGGTAAATGGAAAATGCAATTATTTCCTATCATTTTCGGAGGTAAAAAAGGCAAAAATGAGGTTTCTGCATTGTTTTCTGACCATGCAACTAACGAAGTTGTGTTATCAAAGTATACCAACACACAAACTGAATTGAGTATGAGTCTTCAAGGAACACAATCAAAACGTAGAAGCATGTTAAGCAGTTTAAAAAGATTATATGATTCATCAGAAGAAAACAAGTTAAATGAACAACGCATGATCGATTTCGGCAAGAGATGCGAAGATTGCTTATCCAAGCCATTTGAAAATATGAATGATGAAGAAGTAAGATGTTTGAACTGCTTCAGACTTAAATGTTTACTTTGTGAAAAACAATGCACATGTGGCAATACATGTTATTGCAAAATGATGGCTCAGACCATTGAAGAAAAAAAGGAAAGAGTGAAAAAGATTTTAAGAGAATCGATTAATGGCCGTCTACCGAATGAAAATACAATTTACATCGTCTCGACTCACTGTTACAATCTTCATAAAGGAAAAACTATATTAACCTTAGACATGAGATTATCAAAACATTTTGAGGCGCAAAATGATAATAAACAATCTCAGGTTAGTTAAAGTACATAAGTTTTACATTTTCTTTAATTTGGAAAATCATGAGTTATATGAAAGTGTAACTATGATTTAGAATAATGTTTGTTTTGATTTTATTTAAATCGGTACCTTTAATAAAAAATGAGGAGTTAAGTGTATCCTTATCGTTCTTTTTATTTTAGGAAAACTTTATGAAAGTTTTGGTTTTGGACTATGAGGATCATTCCTCAAGGCAGTATCAACGCAGTCGTCAGGCAGTATGTGTCACTTTGAAAACCGTTGTAGATGAAAAGGTCAGTTGTCAAGTATAAAAACACAAGCTTGGAATTGACAAGGTGGCGATTGAATGCCTATTAACGCCACAGTGTCATATAAATAAATTATTCAAAAGTTTATTTACTTAATATATTTTATCCAACATTAATTAAGGATACAAAAACACAATAAAAACATGTTGAGATTATTAGTGGTTTTTGTTTATCTTTTATTTAGAATTAATGTCATTCTTTATAACTAGGTCATTGGACTCTATAGCAAGGACACGACGGAGAGACAAGAGAAATTTATTAGCCCTTTAATCAAATACTTAGGTTGCAGAGATATACAGGTACAAAAAGTTGATGAGTTTTCTGGAAAACTAGGAAAAAAAGAGGCTCAACTGATTGTCGTCTGTTTAGTCCATTCAAGAGCTATTTCAGATGTGAACGCTGCCTTATGTGAAATTAACGGTAATTTTACAGCGGTGTTATATGTTGTTATATTTTAGATTACTCCAAATTTCTGATCTAATAAACAAAAATTATATGGATTTATATGGCTGTTTACAGTATTACATATATGATTGGATATTTCATATTTATATAGAGAGGAAAATAAAGTTTTCGAGAACCAAATAGTATTATAAATTATATATAAGCTCCCACTAAATCATTAAGAACAATATCGTCATATCTTTTGTAAGAATATCCAAATGATACATTTCTGTTGTTTTTATGAATATCTGAAATACTTACTGAAAGTGGCGCCCGTTGTCGAGTGGTTAAGGTCGTTGACTTTAAACCATGGGCTATGGGTTCGGATCCCTACAGGGACTTTGGATTCTTTCATGTACTCTACTCTACCTCTACTGAGGTGCCCGTTAGTGTCTAAAATAATGTACGGAAAGGCATCTGAGGTCTTCCCATCAGTTACATGTAATCTGGAAAGTCGCCATATGACCTATACTGTGATGGTGCGACGTAAAATCCAATCAAACAATTTTCAAACTTACTGAAAACGCGACCCTTTTTGGCCAATCTACGTTAAAGATATAAATAATGAATACACGAATAAAATATTTAATGAGGAACAACCAATGTTTGTTCTTTAGATGGAAAAGTGCAATGTGAAACAATAATTCTAAAATTCGCTTGAAGAAGTAGTTATCAAACATTTAGTTAGACTCAATGTTAAGATAAATTGCAAGTTAAAAAGTTCTTTTAAAAAAAGAACTATTGTGTTATCTCTTAATATACATTCTTTATTTCAGAAAAATTGTTCAAGCAGATCATACTGGTTCTGTTACATTTCAAACAATCTGATAAAAGAAAATGTTCATCTGAAATGAAGTCGAATAGACGCTTTTCAGACATGACTATCATCGACCTATTCCAGACACCTGAACGTGACAATATAGACGATGTTTTCAAGAAAATAATAGACGCAATTAATTCTTTTGAATAATACATATATTGTATTTGTATGATAACCAGAATTCTGAATTTATGTTGTGACTTTTTCAAATTGAGCATGTATGATGTTGCGTGTGTTTTTCAAATTTTTTTCTGCTAGTCTTAAGTTACGAATTAAATTACAATTATATTGTTTTATTTAATCTATATTAATATTTGCAAAATTACATTATATGTATAAGTGAGAGAGAGAGAAAGAGAGAGAGAGAGAGGGAGAGAGAGAGAGAGAGAGAGAGAGAGGGAGGGAGAGAGGGAGAGAGAGAGAGAGAGAGATTTGTCCACTTAAATATTTTATCTTTATCAGAATCGGGACAAGAGGATGAAAGTTTACCATTCTCATGATCAGAGTGTTGATATGCTGATATAAGTACATGTATATAACAGAACTCAAGAAGTTGTTAACGTTTATATAGTACATTTATTCATTATTTCCTTAACTAGAAATCAGCCATTTAAACATAATTATTTTTGTTGCGGTATTTTTATATCTAAAGGTTTATGAATGAAATGATATTATAGTTGCTTTGAATAAAGAAAAATTTATAAATTACATTTGAATATTTTGTTACCTATACATCCTTTGTTAAATATATAATAGTTTGGCCTCTTATGTTAAATATTGTTTGATAAGATAAAAGTATGTATCTTGTACAAACATTGTGAAGCCTTGCCAGTAACTAGCCTTACCAGCAACTATTTTTAGAATACGATGTACCCATATCTTGACAACAAATTCATGTATGAACGTTTCAATTATTATTAAGAAAATTACAGATTTTCGCCATATATGTAGATAGTGGATTAAAGACAGGATTTTTAAAAATAATGGCACGTATGCATGCAAAATCTCAAAGAGAATTGTTCGAGTTTGGAAATCGATGTCATTCGTGTCAAAACCGATATTGTTTAAATTGTTTTCAATTTAAGTGTACACTTTGCCAAAAGGATTCCAAATGCAAAGCATCTGAATGTGAATGTAAACTATTGCCTAAATTGATTGGCAAAAAGCTAACTGAAGCTCAGTATTTGCTGGTTAGCCAACGCACAGCACCGAGCTCGATTGATATCGCGTTGAAATATAATTTTTCTCTTCATCATGGGGAGGCTTGCTTAAGTTTGAAGATTGTATTGCATAAGGATTTTGACCATAAAGCTGAACATAACACGGCTGGCGAGTCAAAGGTAAGTAGAAATGCAAATTAGTCTCACAAAATGCAGAAAATAGATAATTCAGTTATTTAAAAACATAAACATAACATAAACATGACGTTTATCCAATAAGAAAGAAAACGCAATGTAAGATATATTGCTAAGATTAGAAGATTGAACTTCTAATGATCTTATGATAGTTTAAGAAAAGTTTTATAAATATGTGTGCGAAGTTGCCCATTTTGACTTTGAACCATCTTTGTTAAGGTACTTGAGAATTACATGGAACTTACAGTAGATATCAAGGAAGGCACTCATTTACGAAAAAAGTACGTGAGTAAGCAGACAGTAAAAATCAATGTTCCGGCCTTAAAAACCCAGAAGGTATAACACTTGAATATTAGCTTCAGAATCTTAAAGAAATAAATGGATTCATGCCTATTTATAATAGTTAACATAAAAAGTATAAGTATAAGTAAAAATAAAATTATCGTTTTGAATACCATGAAAACATAATTAATTTTAACACAGTCTCAATTTTTGTACTTTTTACCGACCACGTTAAAACCGATTCTAGCAATTAAATATTTTATAGATGATTATCTTTAAATAAATCAATATTTTTATACAATTATGTTTATGTTTATCTTCTTATAATATTTAGATTGCGGTTTATTGCGGAGAAGAATCCACCTCAAATAGGCACAAACAATGTCTGAATAACCTCAACCGACTTTTACAGAAGAAAAACATTGTTCTGGAATTTACCGACAACCTAGAAAATGCGTTGGCTCAAAATGAAAAACCTTTACTTGTGATTTCTCTCATCCACTCAAGAGCTATATCCGATGTAACCGCAACGTTTTCTAGCATAGAAGGTTAGCAGAAAATTGCTCAATCTTACTCAGATGAAACACGCTTATACAATTTGCTTTTTCATTCTAAACATATTTATTTAAGCATTACGTTCTTTCAATTCCGGCTCCTGCAACTACCAAGTGATGGTTTCATATAAGAAAGATCTGAGGTGAATCGAGTAAGGCTCATCAAACTTGAAATCATTATGTTTTAGAAATAGAAGTAAATAGAGGAAAAAATAAACAAAATTATAATGTTTTGTTGTATATTTTCAAAATGGAAAAGCTTATGTGAACTATGATAGGACAGTAAAGTTTTTAAACATTAAATATATTCAGATGTTTTGCACGAGCCTTACGCGACATGCGAGACATTACATTATGAGATATTTAAGATAACAAAGGAAATATCAACAGATAGACAAATGCAAAGATATGCAATAATAATTATTGAATGTTCGTGTTTGTGTGGCTTATCTGTGTATATTATAAATCGGAACGAATGCATGACTACTTTTCCTTTGTCTATGAATTTTTTAATTTCTCCAATGTGATCAAGATCAATGATACATCTATGTATTTTAGTATTTGTTCAATATCTATTCAAGCAACTAAACTTCTCTTTTCTTAATTTCAGACCAGTATCTAAAAAGAGTTATCGTTGTACTATTGCATTTTAAAGAATCAGATCAGACAGAAGCCGCTCAAGATATCATTGGTGGATTCAACGTCTTTCATGCGTGTGATTACTTTCTAGGAAAAGAAACGAGTTTAGATAAGGTTGCGGATTCTGTCTTTACAGCTATCGAAAAATTTGATATGCAATACGATTAGCAGTGTCAGTATCAAGACTTTAGTAGACACAAAATAAGTTATTTATCTGTGTTACATTTATTGTCGAACTATATTAAAAATGTTTTTATTTTTAGTTCTGACCAAAAATGGTACAAATGTGAATTTAAGGTGATTGTATTACTGAGTATTACAGTAAACAGATGTTATATTGTAACCAGAAATTATTATTTTACCTTAAATATTCTAATGAAAAAATATCAATACTACAGCGGCATTTCAATGTAATTTTTTATTTTTAATTGTCTATATCATCAATCTTTGCAATTAATGCACAGCTCTTGTTAAAATTTGAATAAATTGTATGCAGACAGGAACAATATAATAATTATTATGCTGTTATTTTAAGTATGATTTTAACTGTTAAGCAATGCACCATTCGCTCTTCAGGAAAAATACGAACTTATTCTTTACATATAAGCATTTTGAAACATAACAATGAAATCCAAACAATATCTTTAATATAGGTAGTATCTTTTGTTTCTTTAAATATGAATGATAGGAGCGTAAAATCACCTTTATACACTTTAAGAAAATACATTCGAGCACTTGAGATATATTACACTTCAAAAATGTGTTGTGTTAATTTTAGTCATGTCACATACTTGTTAAAAAATCTGTTGTTTTTTTTTGTTGTTGTTGTTGTTGTTGGTTTTTTTAATCTAATTCCAAATAAAAACACTTTTTGGAAAGGCTCTGTAAAAAGAAGAAAATGAATGATTACCAAAGGTTGAACTAATTTTTCAAATGGTAACAATTGTGATAGCATAAATATATTTTTACCCTCCATTATAATAACAAATTAAAATACTTTAGTTTATGTGTAAAGAGTACAGTATATTAGATATATTTTAGCAATTCAAAGAAATTAGAAATATATTCAGACAGCAGGTCAGAGAACTGCAAACCGTAATTATTTTTAAAATCAAGGATTTTCTTATTCGATAAATTATTTTAGATATTGTTAATATTGTTTGTTTTTGTTTATTTGAGTTTAACAGCAGACTGACACTCACTAGCTATACCATACCGAAAACAAGTTATTCTCGCTGTCATTGATAAATTATAACAAACGTGCAGTATTATAAAACGCAAATGACGTCATGTCAAATTTATGCACGGCCGTGCAATACAGTTTTTACGGAGTCGCAAAATCGGCATTGGTATGTGATAAAATAAACAAGTGTATTCCATACATGCATCGAGGCTCAGTTATTAAAATTATAACGATATCTAAATATATCTCGAAATTTTTTCATAATTTATCAATGACAGCGAGAATAACTTGTTTTCGGTATGGTATAGCTAGTGAGTGTCAGTCTGCTGTAAAACTCAAATAAACAAAAACAAACAATATTAACAATATCTAAAATAATTTATCGAATAAGAAAATCCTTGGTTTTAAAGATAATTACGGTTTGCAGTTCTCTGACCTGCTGTCTGAATATATTTCTAATTTCTTTGAATTGCTAAAATATATCTAATATACTGTACTCTTTACACATAAACTAAAGTATTTTAATTTGTTATTATAATGGAGGGTAAAAATATATTTATGCTATCACAATTGTTACCATTTGAAAAATTAGTTCAACCTTTGGTAATCATTCATTTTCTTCTTTTTACAGAGCCTTTCCAAAAAGTGTTTTTATTTGGAATTAGATTAAAAAAACCAACAACAACAACAACAAAAAAAAACAACAGATTTTTTAACAAGTATGTGACATGACTAAAATTAACACAACACATTTTTGAAGTGTAATATATCTCAAGTGTCGCTTTTCAATGGATAATCGTGACGTTTATATAGTTTTATATACACGGCTGTTGTCGAATAATGAAGATTTCTTACTTTTTTCTCTGAAAAATGATGTTTGCTGAATTATAAATTCGTTATAAAGATTGTTGGCAGGTTATATGGCCGTATATAAACGGCTGTTTGCAATATAACCCTCGCCTAGCGGCTCGGGTTATATTTACAAACAGCCGTTTATATAGGGCCATAACCTGTCAACAATCTTTATAACTTATAATATAAACATAGCGTTAAGACGCGCTAAATGTTAGCGTTATACTATAGACGCTTCAATGAAAAATGTTTCTTTATCACTTCATACGGTCTTTATTTCTGGTATGTGATTGATAGAATATTATATTCGTGTAAGTTCCGAGGCTTGCAAAATATAATTTTATTCAACTCGTTCAATAATTTCAGTATTAAACATACACTCATTCAATATACTCAATATGTATAATAACACGTCTGCATATTCATACTTAAGGTAATATTTATTTCTAGAATCAAGTAGAAGCCCTGATAAAAAATAATAAAGTTAATCAAAATCAATCATTTGTTGTGATAATCTGTGCTTTGAATCTCTCGTCGCCCCTCTCCCATGGCCTCAGGAATTTCCTCGAAACTAGAACCATTTTAGTATTTTCAACGAGTTTTCAACACTTGTCATTACAGGCAAGGAAATAACGAAGCACCCATTTTTTTTCTACGAAAATATTATATATGGCTCCGTTACAGAAATCAACAATATTAGAAGCAACCTCTTAATATCGTCATCGATCTTCTGAAATACTCGCGAAACTTGGACCCTCTCAAAATTAATTACCTAAAAGTTGGTCAAGGTACCTTGACGCTTCCTTTCTTTTCACGTCAAATACTTCTTTTTGTTGCCTTTTGTATTTCGGGTTACGAAGTCAGTTATGCACATACATTGTCTGACACATTGAAAGTTATAAAGAAATTAACAGTTAAATATTTGTAGTGAATTTTTTTATTCTTAAATAAATGCCACTTGATTTGTATAATGAACTTGATTTTTTTCCGTGTAAAATTGAAAATTTTCAAATTTAATTAAATAATTTTCGATTTAAAATGAATTGAATTTTGTAGTCGCTATCCTACAAGCAATATGGAAACAAGAGTGTACCACACTCAATATAATATACCATGCTTATGTGTCAAAGCTCGATTTATTCTAAATACATATTTAAGGTAGTATATTCCTAATGCATTACCTCAGCTTTGAAAAGTATTCAAATAGGCTAGACTGCATGGAAACTGATGACCTAAAAAGGGGAAACTTTTTTAAACATTATTTCTTAATCTGTCAGATCCCTTATAGAAGGAAGAAAGTGTTTGATTTTAATTATATAATTATTGTAGTATTAACGGCTAAATGATGTCAAATTTTATAGCAAATAATGAACCAGATATTGTCAAAGTCTAATAAGATAACAACTACACTTTAAACGTATTTTATATTTTGCAACAAAATAAAATATACCTTAAAGAAAATTTAGGCAAACTTAGAAAACAACCCCCCCCCCCCCCATTTTGGGAAATTTTTAGTATATTTTAAATAAGGCTTTTTAAATATGGAAATGGTCAATTAAGTGTTTAAAGTGGGTTGGGATAGGGTAATATTTTTTTATACATATTAAAAAAAATTTGTGTAGATACACTCATTTATCTCGTGTGATTTGTTACTTGAATATTTTTTATTTGTTTCTTAACAATGATCAATAGGACAACATTTTTCATTATGATGATATTGTAAATTATCTGGAAAGAGCCCAATGTAATAGCAATGTGTTTGTTCAGAAAAAGGTCCAGACCTCATAAACCATACTGTAATTGTTTTTGAAATATCGCATTCAAGTGTCCTTTAAGTGTCCTTTAAGGCTTGTAACTGTCCTGTGTCAATTTTACAGTTCCTTATTGTGCCCATTAGGGTTGCCATTGGTTTATAAATCTATTATACAATGTAATCAGTTAAACTATGTAGCGGGTATTCAATTTTGCCCCTGAAACATTGTACCCATTTAAGAATGTGTGTTTTCTGTAAGATATTAAAACGAATTTCACTGTGTATTTTAGGGCGTATTTGAGGAAACGTTTATTAGATAACCCAAAAGAAAAATGTGTTATTATATAAACAAATAATCATTTTATAATTGCTCGGTATGTGTAATCAAGGTAGTTCCGAATAATTGTTTTATTTCAAGTAGCGTTTATTGTTTAAATATTATCCGAAAAATCTCGAGGACCTGCATAAACTGAAGACAGATGTTATGTTCATTAATGAAATAACATTAATTATTACCATCATTATGACGCCCGAGTTGTTCTATTATAAAAGGGGCATTTAAAAAGGGTATGTCGGTTCGTCATAGGAGCAAATGAGCACATTTTGTAATATTTTAATCACCTTACAGCCAGCACACTTGTCCGACTAGTATTTACAAACCTCAATGTGGTAGTATGACTAGATTATAATCCATGTTGAGTTTTTAGTCAGTCTGTGAAATGCAAAGGTCACTGTTCCATTGACTGCTAAAAGCTTATGACGATCTATACATAGCTCGTCCTTTAGTGAAGCAGGAGCTTGTGATTCATTTTGCTTTTTTGGTAAATTTGTCAAAGGTAACTGTCATTATGGTACTGATACCAAACAGTCTGTCCTAACAACTGTAGGACGCATTGTCTTGCAGCCTTATGATTAAGTGTTGCATTTTATAATGGCAGGTAGTCAAAGCCGTTTATTATTCTTTATTTGTAGTATTTTCAAAAACAGTAACACGCATAAATATACATGTACACACATTACATTAAAATAGCAATACATAGAATACACAGACACTATCACTATCTTTATATACATGTATGTAATAACTACAATATTTACAATATATACACATTTTTAAACTGTATTTTTGTAGGTCTTATTGCTCTTAACATACAGCGTCTATAATCTTTATCCAATAACACATTTCCTTGTCTAAAAGTTTCCGTAAATCGACCTTATTTCCAGAAGGAACTCCTCACAAACAACATCATGAGCGTAATACATGTTCCATAGGTCCATCACTTTTGCGTCCATGTTTCTGTTAACGTCCCTTCGATAGTGACCGACGCCAGCTTCCGTCACCAATTGTAGATGTATGTTCAATAGCTTTGCCTCATGCAAAAGTAACCTCAGAAGAGCATTGAAGGAAATCACGCCCCAACCAGCCTGGCTATTAAGACGTTTATGCCATCCTAGAAAAATAACAACTTATAATCAATATAAGCCAATGATAGATATATGGGAGCAAGGTTCAGTACACTTTCACCTTTGATACTTAACTTGGCATGTGTGTAGCTTGCATGAAAATACAGTCTAGCATTGATACTCAGGTATCTGGTATATTTCTATTTTGAACTAGTGAAACCAATGTTCTGTGTTCGTACAAAAGCAGCATCATTTTTTTTCACTGCCATATTTTATTATTAATTCCTGTCACATCATTACTTGGTGGTTGAAAACCTGGTTTTCGTCGCCTTTTGGCGCATCTTGTTTAAATTAAAAAGATAACAAAAATAGAGCATATCGTCTGTATCGTTGTATTGTTGTTACGAATAGTCTGTAGGTAGACTGACAATTCCTCTGCAGACCAAACTGTTCTCCATCCATTGATCATTTGTCTACAAGTGCTTGAGAGCTACCATCAACTTTGTCGAACAGCTTCTTGAATGCTCTTGGTATATCCCTTCCAGGCAGAAACGGTAAAGCCAGTAGTTTCCTAATAATCTGATGTACACCCTCTATTTGTCGACATGTGATCATCAAACCGAGTTCCTTTTCTCGTCGCTTCGGTGCCTGTGTCCAGTGAAAACCGTATCCTTTGAGACTGGCGCCATGAAAGATCCCATAAACCTAAAATGTACTGTTTTTGTAAAGATCTAACGTTGTGCCGAAAGAAATATCTCTCATATCAGATTATGTAAAATTAAATTTAAATTTTGGAATAGTTTATGCAATTAAGAAATCATTATTTATTTTATTTGAGCAGATTTTCAATATTCTTTTTAATAATGCGTTTATCAATAGAAACACGCCATACGATATAACACGTGTTCAAATCAAACCTACCGGTTTCGAAGTACATATTAAAGCGTTCAACCGCCGGTGCTTCATCCATGATATCAAGAAGAAAAATATTAAAGTCACACTTTATTAATCATACATACCGTTCTAATGACCGATAATTTGATTATTAACGGCAGGCGCCGGTGTTCATCCTATCACGTGCCACTAGTGACGTTAACCCATCACACTATATATCTGCTATATATGATAATATTGTATTTTTTTTCTTCATGTCTTTAAATAATGCACAATTTATACATAAAAAAACACAAAGAAAATAAACTTTGCAATAGGAGACATGAGATGTATGATGATAAATTATTAAAGTCATTTTCATTTCATTTCATATTCATATCTGGCATTTATCCTTCTCATCACGTCTTTTAATTGTATGAGCGGCTGCTGCAGAGATACCAACTCTCAATAAGCTATACACCTACTTGTAAATCTTGCATCCGTAGCTATCAAATCCTTTACTTTTTGTAGGAAAATCAGGAACGTGTATCTGATTTTCTCGTCTTCAAATTATTACAGATAAAAAAGAATGAGATGCCCACACTTTCTATACAAGTTAACCAATGCTTAGAAAGCAATCGCGATAGAACCTAATTCTATTCTCAGCAGAAGTTATACGTTAGTTTGTTCTCCTAAGGCTTAATGAATGGCTTGTCAGAATATACAAATGATTTTAAACAATTCTCTGTATTCTTGCTAAAATAACCATACCCGAGTCGACTAACTAGCAGACAAAAATTAGTTTCCTGCGAAAAGATCTACATTTAAATCCTTCAAAATACTAACCACCTTGTGATATACAAATTTCTAGTCTTTTGATGTAATTTTTAAATGCGTTTTTATAATCTTCTCGAGGTGTACTGTTCAGAAACTGCAAAATAGCCGAACCGAATCTTTTTAGCGCTTGAGATTTTCTTCCACCAAGGTGTTTTTTGAGCCTCGGAAATAGGAAAAAGTCACAAGGGACAAGATCTGGCGAATACAAGAAAGGTAAGGAAGCTCTCGACAAGCTTTACCTTTTCAGATATTCTCGTACAATGGCCGCTTTGTGTCACGAAGCATTGTCATGCAACACCCTGACACCACGGAGACCAGTTGCTGGTCGACGGTTTTTGAAATATATCTTTAATTTATAAAGACCTTGCCTTTGTGATTTACAGGTTAACCCTTTGGTACGGCAATTTGTATAGCATGCCCTTGATTGGTAGGGAAAATTACATACAATACCTTTTTGACGTTCACGGTGCGTTTTGCAATGCAAGGTTTTTGATTGCCCATATTTTGTTATGTATCTTTCGCTTGGGCTTATAAAAGTGAACCCGCGTCTTATCGCCGGTGATGATATTTGCGAAAGATCTATTCTTGTATTAAGTGAACCGTTTCAACAACTTATTGGAGATTCTTAATTGAGCAAGTTTTTCTCATTTTTAAGGCGATGGGGTGGCATTTATCCTTCTCATTTTTAAATCACTTTTGAGAATTGTAGAACTGTAGAGATACCAACTTAATTAGCTTTAAACCTATTGGTAAAATCTTGAATCAGTAGCAATCAAATCCTTTACTTTTTCCACCATTTTTATTGTTGTTGCGAAGTTGCAGTTTTCGGACGGCGTGAATGAGGTGCAAATTTTACTGAATCTACACCACTTTTCTTCTTGTTCTTACACCACCGTGTGACAGATGAAAAGGAAGGTTCATTGTTCCCATAAACACAACGTATTTCATTAAATATGTCAGCGGTTCTTGATATAGGAGCGTATTTGGTCAGTGAAAGGAGACCTTTTCCCAATCGTTTTAGCTTTAGTATTAGCTTTAGTATACACGAGTGGATAACGATAACCGAGCTATTTTTTAAAAGCTAAAGTGAACTGATTTACACATGCATTGTATCAATTGAGAGCTTACACAACCATCTATGCGATACATGTTCATAGTTCGAGCAGAAAGTAGTTAAAAGCGAGATATTGCTCTAGTTGCATTTATATATGAACGTCTAACATGTTTCACAACTTACCATCCCTTGTTTGTTTTGTTTGTCTGTTTGTTTGTTTTTTTAATCAGAAACATTGTATGAGTGTCCAAGTTAAGTTTTACTTAACGTTATTTATGTTGAAAGATAAGAAATAAAAGTAAGGAAAAATGGAAAAGAAACGATATTTTGGCCCTGAGATACATATTTTATTACATAAGCGGAAAAAATGGGTATTGTGATTTTCTTATCCGCAAACTTGGTCAGTAAATAACCATATATTATCATATCTTTAGACGGTTTTGATAAACGAAATCATCATCACTTATCAAACGATAAATCAATTCAAAGTTAGCAAATCTCCAAACGAACATGAACGATGGCTACCTGTAAGTAATATTTACAACTGTTTACTATATTTTTGTGCTATTGTTTTATTTTGTGGTTTTCATCAAATGTAGTTGACATTTTGTATTTACATTAATTTTGATATGATTAGAAAAATAGATTTTGTGAGAAGTAAGCACAATCATTTACGACCCGTGTTGCTGAATACAACGGCATTTTGGTCACAATGTTCATTTTATATTTCGGAATCTATTCATCTTTGGGACTTGATCAAGTTACACTTTACACTTAATTTACTGTAAAGTTTTAGTATTTTTATCAGATGCGCGCCGATTTTAGGGGAAAGAGGTGATCGAGTGTTGCACTTAACATACTTATATTATATCTAATAAGCTTAGGAAATAAAAACATACCAAAAACTTAGCAACCAATTCTAACTACTGTTTCATGTATCAAAATTACCAGAAAAAACACCTCCTATCTTAATTGCTAATCGCGCATTAGTTGCCTCGGAAGCTGCCCATCTGATAAGATTAAAGCGAAACAACGAAGATGCTTAAGTCTGAAGAGAGGGTGATAAGCTCGAGTAGACAAGCTTTGTTATTTTGAAACTTAGCAAGGAATGACCCAGAAATACCCGAACTCCTATAAGTTTGAACATCTTTATGTTAACGTATACTTCCACATATTTAAATGTTCCAGTAATATAGTCAAATGTAATATAGATTCGTTTAGTTTCGTTTCAATACGCTTTAAATACCCACACTGTAACGACACAGCGGTGCAGGTCATTGATGTTGTGAAGTGCAGGATGCACCCACGGATCTTGTTAAAACTTTACTGAAATATGATGTTTTTCAAACGAAAACGTTTTCGCTCTAAATTTCTCATGGCATGTTTGTATTTATTCGTGTCTTTTGACAGGTGAAAAGGGTCGCAAGGTTGAAAAGAAGTTACGTTATATCACTGACGGCCTCACATGTTCAAAGTTAGCAACAATATATTACCCCGTAAATGACACACATGCATGTTTTAATTGAAATATATGTCTTGTATTGTATATATTTGAGTGTTGAGGTTCGTAACATTTTGTGGGTTTTCCAAAATCTTCAATTACTGTCTCTGTAATTAGCTTTGGCGTTAAGTTTGGAAATTTAAAAAAAAACGTTATCAAGTATGCGAGTGATAAATTATGTGTGTGTAATTCATGTTAGTTTCGGCAACTTCGTTGATGAATTGAATCAAACAGCCAGGGCTGCATGTTGGTAAACATCAAAGATTGGCAGATTCTTTTGAAAAGCCGGCTACACACTGTCAAAGATCATCGTGTGTAAATTGCATGCGTGTTATTGAACAGTGGAAACATTATATTTAATTTTTACGGGTGTTTTTGTTTTGTTTTGGGGGGGGGGGGGTTTGTTGTTGTTGTTTTTTTTTCAAAAATGTGAGCAAGTGTTATTTAAGAAATAATATATCCTAAACTGTGATTTTATCGCTCAATAACATCACTGTTTGGAGTTCGGATGCGAGGAATTATATCACGAGGGCGCAGCCCGAGTGATATAATGATGCGCATTCGAACGACAAACAGTGATGTTATCCAGCGATAAAATCACCGATTTGGATATATTATTTCGAAATAACACGAAATCAACAAATAAATGCTGCCGTACCTGATATTAAGCAAAATTGCACCTGATTTGTTTCCGTACTTATTGTCTACCCGTCGGATTTTATAGTGGTTACGTCACATGAATAATGATTACGTCACATATCTAAATATAGAACGTCAAACAGTGATTTATAGCATATTCTAACACGACCCGCATTTTTCCCTATTGAACATAGAAGAACCGAAAGTGTGTGTTATTATGCTATAAAATCACTGTTTGACGTTCTATATTTAGACATGTGACGTAATCATTATACACGTGACGTAACCACTAAAAATGTGACGCGCTGACAATAAGTACGGACACAAATCAGGCGCAATTTAGCTAATTATCATGTACGGGCAGCATTTATTTGTTGATGTCGTGTTAGAATCGAAATAATATATCCAAATCGGTGATTTTATTGCTTGATAACATCACTGTTTGTCGTTCGGATGCGCATCATTATATCACTCGGGCTACGCCCTCGTGATATAATTCCCCGCATCCGAACTCCAAACAGTGATGTTATTGAGCAATAAAATCACAGTTTGGGATATATTATTTCTTAAATAACACACACTTTCGGTTCTTCTATGTTCAATAGGGAAAAATGCGGGTCATGTTAGAATGTGTATTATAGCACTAATTGAGGAAGATGAATATAATTTTCATTTGAAATCGTAAGTACCTTATGCACTTAATTTATCGATAGAAAAAATACATAGAAAAAATAAAATCAATACCGAAACATTTTTGATAGGTAACATTCAATTAAAAAGGAAGTAAAACGAAATACTACACTTTGAAAAAGGTCGCGAAAAATGGTTGCGTCATATCAGCTAACTAAGAATATAACAACGATCCGAACATCCGGATGTCTGATTCGGATATCCGGATGGCCATTTCAGCTCCAGATGACATCCCTATAAATTAATAAAAGTTTCCATTAATTTGCGCAAAATTAAGATAATCGAGACGAGTTGTTGTAACACGCGAATATACATGTTTTTAGTATCATACAGTTCATAGTACAAAACTTACTAAACTATCAAAATATTTCATATCTTTGGTGTCTAAGGTATAATTCAAGATTAAAATAGCAAGTAAAGTACACTGCATAGGGGGGAGGTGAAAGACATGTTTATGAGTATAAATGGACAGATTCGTAAAATATTTATCGATAAAAAATGCAAGAAAGTGGGAATTATTTATAAAAGAATAGGAGAAAAAAATCAGTCAGTGCTAACATATAAAAGACAACGACTTTTTACAGAATTCAGTCATTCAATGTGTGTTGGAAAGACTTGGCAGTTGCCTCCATTCCACTATGTTACTTTTACAGTATCTTGTAATTCAGAATAGAATAGCCGTATACAAACAACGTTTATATCGTTAAATTATGTAAATGGGCTTTTCTATAAGTTGTCATATATTGATGACACTTCAAATAATAAAAATTATTACATATGTATAAGTTTCATCTCACAAAAATGAAAAGTGATCCTATTTTAAATCTTTTAGATATGATTCAATATATTTACTTGCACAAACACCCGACTTGGCCACTCTCAATTATACCGAAATTATCAAATATAGTTTATGCGATCATTTTTAAACGGGTATAAATATTTTAAAGTGGAATAATACTTAAACATTACCTCTAATCTGAACGATAAACGATGGTGAACCAAAAATGTATTTAGGTATTGGCAGTATATATTTAGGTATTGGCAGAATATATTGTTCCTGCGCGGAACATAATTTCACGACTGTTGCAGTTCCCAAAATATGTTTACTATATTGACTAAAACCACATTGTTATCAATAATTTACAATAATCAAAAGATATTTTAACAATTTAACAGCAAAGCAGAAATTGTTTAAGAATCCATTTGCAAGTCTCAGATCAAAGAAAAAAGAGCCAATTGAGCCTGTGGAACCATGGAGAGTGTATAAAGAATTAACGGGTGAACATGGGTGGCAAAAAGAGGTAATATCTAATTATCAATTTTACTGTAATCTTTCAATGTATAGTATTGATTAATTTTACGTTAATCATATTAAATCTAATAATATTCAACAGAAAAGAACGAAGCATTTAATACATAAGTTTTGCAACAAAGCTATTCATTAGCATACTGTGCTACTAATGCTCAGGCTTAAGTAAAACATTTTAACTACATAACTTCACTGAAGTCTATGTAATGCTTCCTGGATGTGTCTAATTTGAATAAAAGGATTAATAAACAATGTATTGGTAGCTGCATGCCCTTTCACAGGTCAATTTAAGTTGGGGTTTGTTTTTTCTTAAAAGAAAATATGCCAGTTTCTGCATTTTCATATTGTGACCACATTTTGTGTGCAGAATTTCAAACATAACATATCAACTAAGGTGAAGTCAAAACATGTTTTTTTATATTGACAAGAACACTGTATACCAATTATCAATAGTTTCTGATATCAAATTTGAGCATACTATATCTTTAATAATATGAAATAGAAAATACTTTAGATTTGGTATGAAATTACATCTTACTTGAGTTAACAGTGCCAAACATAATGCTTTACATAGGGTGATATGGGGATATTGGGCTGTTTTTGGTCTTGTGAAATACAATTTGTGACTGAGTAAAATATCCAATAAAATAATATCTTATTGTAGTATTATAAGACCCTGTTGACCAGAATCAAAAACAATACAACGTCGGTATTGAAAAAGGAGGACGTCGGTTCTGAAACTATTAATATCATGATGCTTGGTTATGTTCAAAGCGGAAAATCCTCGACAATCAACTCGATATTCTGTATACTTGACAACAGAATAAGTAAACGGGCAAAATCAGGGGACAGTGAAGACTCATTTACACAAACGGTTTGTTATAGTTTTTTTTTCGTATAAACTGACTAAAAGGACCTTATTTGTTTAACTTGCTATCATTTTTATTTCAAAATGTCTATTTGCAATAAAGCTTATAAAAATATATATGATGTTTTAGAACTCCGAGCCAATAAAAAGGAAACACTTATATTTCATAGTGAAAATGCAAACCAAATAGGAAGAAAAAATAAACAATTCAGAAGAGCATAAAGTAATCATGTCTATGTTAGTCCGTATCATTTTACTAGATTGTCCCTCATCTCACATGATAAAGAATCACGAATTCTATGCCAAGGTCACTGGATAATATTTTGAGATATAAAAAAGATTTTCATGGAGTTTTTTCGAAAGCATATTGAATGCATTTTTTTTCATACCAGACTTCAGGAATTTAAGTTCAAGAAATTCAAGGTCAAGTTTAACATTTAAATGCTCTCTCGTGCACATTGTACTGGCTGGCTTCAATCAGCTTTTGAAAATAAAAAAGTGATTTCGATATCGTGTCAATTCATTTAACTGATAAATCCATACACCTTTTATACCTTGTTACACTCCCATAATATCCATCATTTGTATTATTGAAATATTTATGTTTGCGCTGTAAAATCAGACAGAGGTCGTAGAATCAAATATTTAAAAGTCTAGAATAGAGCTCAATTTATTTACACATGAATTTCTGGTTTCTTTTCAGTATGATTCATTCAGGGGCGAAAAACAACTTGATGATATTATTCTCTATGACGTCATGGGGGTCGAGGCCGTAAAACACCAAGGGATATTAACTGAAGACATTAAAATGTGCATGAAAGGAGACGTTGAAGAATCCTATCAAGTAGATATTGAAGTTGTTTTAGATATTTTTGACAAATACTAATACAATTTACAAATAATGTAATATAGTATTTAAGCTTATATCTGAACATAAAATTAAAATATACAGGAATAGCAAGTCAGGGGGAAACTGTAATGAAAGATCACCTTTCAAGTTCCTTGTCATGTTAATTAAGTTTAGTTTTTACAACAGTACTTGTTGACTATATAACTGTATACCTGGATATTAAATAATTAAAAACTATTCTGCTTACTCTGTTATCTTATTCCATCTCGATATGTACTGCAGATATAATAGCTGTGCCAGATAAATAAAATTTTAATTTAAACTAAGATGACATTTTCTGCACTTTTTCTCGGGGATTTATTTCGATTTTACGAAATATAAATTCTTTTTTTACTTTTTTGTTCTTTTTAACGAAAAATGAATTCGTAATTACAAAACAGTATTTAATATGATTAAAATGATGACACACAGAAATCTTAATGTAGACTCTAGTTAAATTTAAAGCAGTGTTATTCATTCAGCGCAAAAATTAGAACAATGTAGTAGTAATATTTTTTTTCTTTTATGTATCGTTTTAGTTCGATCCACGTTCCCAGAAAAGAATTGACGGTAAAGTGTTTGGAAAGGAAATACATTGTGTTATGTACTGTGTTGATGCGGAATCAATATTTCAAGAAATAATAGAGCCCGTTAAAAAGAAAATGCAAGAAATAGAGTCGGAATTGAAGTTAAACCGTATGTTCTCGATAAATAAACCTTCCTCCAAAGAGAATCACTTTTTTAGCATTTTGCAAAATACATAAAAGTAATAACTTTTTGAGTAGATATTTCATTTTCACTGATTTAATTTTCATTATAAAATATTTGTTTACAAAAAAAATAAATAAACAAATAAATTATTTAATTAATAACCTTACTATTTGCAAAACAATATACATTCATTATTAAAACCATTTTAATTTTTATAATAATTTTGTTACTATGAAATACTTTGAGACGAACGAACATAACAACAAACAAATTCTGAAGCATTCGAGTATTGAAATGATAAAATCTTACTGTTGTACTTATTTATAATCACAGGAATTTCTTTCATAAAATATGAATACATTGAACTTCACTCAGATAGACCATAGCTGCTATTATTTTCTTCCACCATTTTGTACAGCGCAAGATAGGATAGTGCTTGTAACAAAGATTGATACCATTTGTGATGAGACAAAGAAAGATATAAGGAGGATCTTTCATAGCAAGAAAGTACAGAATGCGGTTGAAATGGCGGCGAGAGTCTTTAAAGTCAGTTTGAACCAAGTGCATCCGATAAAGAATTACACAGACGAAGTAGAGATCGATGAATATAAAAATATACCATTGCTGCTAGGCCTGTCAAAGGCAGTTGATTTTGGCACTGATTACCTTCGAAACATGGCGGATAAAGCAAAGAGGAAATCACAACAAAAAGAACAACAAACCGAGATATAAATGTTTCATTTTCTTGAAATTCGTTTACAGAATGAACTTGATATGAGACTGAGAGATGAAAGAAAATGGAAAGTTTTGATTAAGATGAACCGAGCAATTAAAATTCTTTTACTAAAGGATATCATTTTTAACTTTTTATTTAAACACTTCCTACTAATACATTCGATGCTCCCAATTGATATCTTGTTTTCTAAAATCGTTTTCTGCTTTCTTAGCTGATCACATTAGTCTTGTATATGACTTGTTTCACTGCAGATGGAATTTTCTTGTTGTTGTTCATGACACAAAATAATAGGCAAATACTCAATATTGTAAGATTTCCTAAACGTTTTAAATGTGAAAATGACACGGATTATCGGACCATTCCAAAATCAAAAGTCATCGCATCCCAGCCCTTTTGTCCACTTTACCTCGTGTATTTAGTCCCATTTCAATTCTTTTTCATGATGTCTTGTTCATAAAAATGTTTGTCCTCTTGTGCAAATGGTGTCGAGTTTAGTAATTGTCACGGTTCAAAACTGTTCACTATTTAGGGGAGAAGATGTGTAAGCGGCCGGATAGCTCAGTCGGTAGAGCCGCGGAACGGTATTCCGAGGGTCCCGGGTTCGAGTCCCGGTCAGGCTGCACATTTTTCTCACCCTGTGACATTTGGCGCCCAACGGGGGACCGTGACTGATAAATCTCAGAGTTTAATTTACATTGCTCTGTAACTCTGTGAAATGCGTCCTTTTTCGAGGACGAATTTCAATATAGCAGGGGAGTATGTCACGGTTCAGAACTGTTCACTATTTAGGGGAGAAGATGTGTAAGCGGCCGGATAGCTCAGTCGGTAGAGCCGCGGAACGGTATTCCGAGGGTCCCGGGTTCGAGTCCCGGTCAGGCTGCACATTTTTCTCCCCTAAATAGTGAACAGTTCTGAACCGTGACATACTCCCCTGCTATATTGAAATTCGTCCTTGAATTTCACAGAGTTACAGAGCAATGTAAATTAAACTCTGAGATTTATCTATCAAAGTGCGCATGCGTGAGATGGTTTTCCCGGGAAGTTTGTAAAAACTGAGGCCCGGCATGCAAATTATGTCAAAATGAAATATGAAAAATTAGTTGTTATAATGAGATGATGAAATGGAATGATATAGGAATGATATGGGATAATGGATTGTATATCGGACTGTAAAGAAACATACAAATACAAGAGATATATATACAAATACAAAATGATACATGAAAACGATATTCAAAAACACGAATATCGACCACATGACATAATGATGAAACACATAAATTAATGAAGTGCACAATATAATTATATAATTCAAAAATGTAATCAAATAGGCTGTTTTAATTGCTTTGTTAAACAATTTGTTGGATGTAAAACGTTAAAGATCATTTTTAACATACATTCTAAGGGAAATAAGTTTGATACGAGGTATTATCCAGAATTACCTGGATTTTTTTTGTTCATTAAATTTATGCCTGCGCAAAGTTTAATGTTTCATCTGTTACACCTGTTTAATTGCAACATATAATCGATTTAATTGCACCCTGTACCGTCTTAGGTTGCCATAAATAACTATGGAAACGTTAGTGCGGTGCAGCTCGTAGAAAGCGACGTTCGTATACAATTTTAAGTGCTTGATACAAAAATGGAGCTTGACCAAAATTTGCCAGAGCTTGACGTTAAACCCGAAAAAAGTAATGCTAGAATTTCATGTCATTTGAACATGTGATTATAATGCAATCAAGTATGCAGGTTTCTATCCACGTTTATTTATTCAAAGGGTTTGTCGGGAATCGAGCTCTTTCATATACATTTGTCGTTCTCCGTCGCTGTGGCGCTTGAAAGATATATTGTGGCGCTTGAAAGATAAAACAAATGTGATGTTATGAGCAACCTTGCATTTTTAAAATAAATTATATTTGATTAATTGCATGTATCAAGGATTAGTTTTAAGTATTTATTACATTTATACAAAACATATCCCTAGAATTAAGTAAATGGAACCTGATGGATGCATTTTAGTTTCTAATCTAGGAATTATAAGCGACGGTAAAGAAAAACCTAAACATTTTATTTTTTTAGAATCTTATCTTATCATGCACATTTTTATCAAATTAAATGATATATAGAAATAAGACAATTATTATGCCTTCAACTTTAAAATGCATATGGGTTTATTCCCCACCCCGCGCGCGCGCACACACACACACAGACCACACACACACACACACACGCGCACGCACCAACACACACACACACGCACACACATACACACACACACAAACACACAATCAAATCAAACAAAAGTTCAATAGTCATAGGTTTGAGTTGTTAGCACACTTACGATGAATGATATCCTTGATTTTCCGAAAGAAATGACTTTCTATGAAATTTTTGTTTGTTTTATTGGGTTTTACGTTTCATCGACACTGTATAGGTCATATCGCGACGTTCCAGCTTTACTGGTGGAGGTAGACCTGAGGTGCCCTTCCGTGAATTATTTCAGGCACGAAAGGGCACCTGAGTAGAACCACCGGCGTTCCGTAAGCTAGCTGGATAGCTTCCTCACATGAAAGAATCCAAAGTCCCTGTCGGGATTCGAACCCACAACGATGAGGGGCTAGTGGTTTGAAGTGAACGACCTTAACAACTCGGCCAAGGACGCCCCCTTCCTATGAAATAAGAACATAAACACTCACCAAAATGATAACAAAGCATCGACCTACATTGCGTTTAGTATTTTTGACGACAACATACACTCAACGATATTATATTTTCTGACTCACACTACAATAAGCTGAAAATTACAATTTTTGACGACTGTTTCTTCGGGATATTCAAAAGTTTTTCGACATTTTGCGTTACATAACTTTATCAGAAGAACTTCATCCTTATAGTTACAGTTCCTCCCCTCAAAGACACATTGACCTATAATTTATGTTATGTGACCGCGACCTATAATCTAGGTTATCATGTGACAATGCTAGACTTCTCTTAACCGTCTACGGAAAGGATACGAGATAAACGGTTACGTCGTAATATCTTTAAGTTAATAAATGTAAGTACAGAAAGATAACACCGTTTCAAAATATGTCATAGTTTGATCGCTAAGTTAAAATTGGAACAAGAAGTCATCTATTCAATACAGCTGTTTAGGTTTTGAAGTGAATCATGTAATAGTTATAGTACATGAAACGAGTTAGTTACGAGGGTATAACACTGGCTGGGGCGACAATCAAGGGGTGTTTCTGCTAAAAAATGGCGAGGCCGTAAGGCCGAGACAATTTTTTTGCAGAAACATCCCGAGATGTCGCCCCAGCCAGTGTTATACCCCCGTAACTAACGAGTTTCATATACTTTAACTGTTTTATCGCAATGGCAAAATGTTTTCTTTTTTTGTAATAGAAACAAATAAATTAATCGTTAGCTACATTACAGTTATTTATCATAAGGCAGTTTTTCAAGTTGCTTTTTCGCTGCCGCAAAAAAAAATATACAAAAGACATCCAATATTAAGAGGCGGATTGTATACTGTTACCAAGACTGATTTAAGATTAAAGGGCTTTTTTTCAGTGGAAATATTTCATTCAGCGGATGTACCTTTTGACTAAATGAGAGTAAATTTCATTTCATTAAGTATCTTTGTTTATTTTTCATTGTTTTTATATTACTTATTCTATTTTATTGATTTCATTTTTTATTTTATGGTGTTTTTTTTTTTTTTGGGGGGGGGTTGCTACTGGGAATGGTCGTTACCACTGCCCCATTGGAGCCTCTATGAAAAAACTGTATTGATATATACAAGGTGCGAAAAAAAACTCGACCGATATATAACAGTCGAGTTTTTTTTCCTATATGAATCAATGAAAAAAAATGTACTGTTATATATCAATACAGTTTTGAAATGCTCATTGAAGTGTACTGAGTATAATGGGTTACAAGAACAAAGGAAAAGTTCCAAACCATGCGATAAGTTTGAAATATGAACCAGCATATAAAATATTATGTCACTTCTTCATTATTCTCATAATCAATCGGCCAAATAATTGACACCGGGGCAGGGCACTTCTTACCAAATTCCATTGAAATGCCTTATGACAGTTTACTTCTATAAACAAGTACAAATGTTGCTGCAATGCAGCAATTGAGAAGCTCCGCGCAAAAAATGCGCTCATTACAGATACCTTACCAAATCATTCCTGCGCACAGGTTATTTTCTATTTAGATTAAGTACTAGTGTATATTATCAAAGCAATAAATGCTGCAAGTGACGATGACCTAGTAGGCATCTGATGGCCAGATATTCTTATAAACATTTCAATGGTTAATTTTACCTGAATTGTACATGTATATCATAGATGAATGGGCGGACGAAAGACATTGTTCATCATGAACTTTGATAGGCTTGTTGGAGATAAAAATATTAAATGTATTTTCTTTGGAACATACAAAACAGTAGTTAAAATGAACAAAGTCTGTTTTTTTATTATTGCTGTAACAAATATACAAAACAGAATATAAAAATAGCAATAAAAGGGACTAATATAGTAATATTACATGCATTTTTTCGTATCAAATTAAGAAAAATGGTTTCTTTTAACACCTGGGAGTTAAGATACAGAAGCTATTTTCTAAGTCCTAGACTAGATAAATAATGGAAGAGTACACACACTCGAATGAAGAATTTGTGATGAATTTCAAAAAGACCAAATTTGGAAAAAAAATTTGTTATACGCGTTAACAAAAATAATGGTACATTAAAAATCATGTCATTGAATAAATTTGCATGGCATGTTGATATATTGAAACATTATTTCTCAATGGAAGACTGTTACCTGAATTTCAGACAGATGTGAGAAAATTCACTAACATCATGTTCATGCAAGTCAAAGATATAACAGCTACTTGACTTTGGGTATGAATAAAGAGCTATTGTCAAATGATTTATTGGGAGATCAATTTGCTATTTTGTTGAATTGCTTCAAAATCCTCGTCCAGTTCTAACACCTAATGTTAAAACTGCAGACAGAAGTTTCTGTTTTTAAAATGTCACAGTACTCGTATTCGGCAAATCAACATTCCCCTCAAACATATTTAAATCGGAAAATCACGGTCGATGGTAAAAAAATTGTCAGTTATAAGTGCAATCAAGGTCGTAAAAAAGAAAATAGCTATTAATTTACCGAAAACAAAAGCCTTACCGAAAAGACAATTTAAAAATGATAACACTATGATATAACAACAATAAAAATGGCCTACTTAAATTGTTTCGATAAATTGATGAAGAGTGCAATTTATGGTTGAATATGTTTGCATTTTATTTCCTGCTAAACTCTCCAGTTCGTCATTTATTACCATGCAATTCAATAACATTAAAATATCAAATTACCCTTATAAACTTTTGTCATGATCCATAATTTACCCTTTACCAACCCCATTTTCAATACTAGTATACTATAATAATCTTATAATAGCAACCAGTACAGATCGGAATATCTTGCTCAAGGGTAACTCTATTTACGGTGGTAACTAGACTGTCCAAAGTTTCGCTTATATAATCCTGTCTGTGACGACAAATAAATTACTTAAAAATTATCAGAATATGTTAAAATTACATCTTATTTTTGACTGCTGTAAATAAATACCTGTACATACAACATATCATTACATAAATTTTATTGGACATTAATCATATCCGAACTGAAATAGAGGAAATTTATAAAGGAATCAACGTGCCATTTCATTTTACTTTATTGTTTCCCTATTTTCAGTTCTAAATTTACTGAATTCATAGTATTAGTAGAGTTCTAATATAAAACCTTTAAGCACTTTGTAATAAAATGAAGATGTTTTATAAATTTAGAATAATAACAGCAGAAAGAGTCCATTTTAGTGTTGATGACCTTAAGAACAAATTGATGTACGGATAACATATTAAAAACTTGTTTTAATTTTGCGAGTTATCAATGCATAACGGTCTGAACACTCGTCTAGGTTTGTATTAAGCATGTTTAACAGTTTCCTACAGCTTTGGTAATTAATTCAAGTTTAAATTCTAACGTGTTACATCGTTCATTAAACTCCCACCAACCCTACCCTGATGGTGTAGGTATTGATATGCTGTCAAGTTTGTTTATATTTCAGCTGTGAGCCGGACTCAGTTTCGTTGTTAAACCATAGCCATGCCATGTGGCTAGATCAACTAAAGAGAAACGAAACATTTGGACAAAGTGTAGGACCTTTCCAGTGTTTACAGATTTATGTAAATTGGCTAGCTTGTTATCCAATTGCTACACTAAGATAGTACATAGTCACTGGTTGACCTGGTTTGCACAAAAGAACACATGGTTTTGTTTGTGATACTGTTTGTGAGCAGTTGACATAGCAATGAATGGAAAAGGTGTGGCTTAATGTTCCGCTACGAAAAACCGGAAAGGTCCAATCATAACTGTCTTACGTTCATAGCGTGAACAAAATCGCATTAGACAACTAAATTCTTAACAGCCTGAAAATGATTAGAAACGTGTAATTTTACTATAGGTGCAACTGCATACATGTAGAAAAGATCCAACATCAAATTTTCATCAAGGAGGCATTTGCACTTACATCTACTTCTACATCATACTGCTTAACAATCAATTCTGATTATGACTAGCAGTAGTTACCACTACCGTCCATGAACAGGCATATCACACCGGGTATAAAATGTTTCAATTTTACCGTTTCGATCGTTCTTTAGAGATCCCGTTTTTCTAGTTTGTATTCAATGCTTGGTTGCCGAATGTTGTATGGAAACACATATTCTATTACCTTTCGGCATACATGTAAAAGTCTCCTTATCTCTTCATTTAATTTTTTTGCCCCCACTATAGGGGAGGGGGTTTAGATTCACCCTTGTCCGTCCGTCCGGGCGAACATCCAGTTGTTTCGGAAAAATCCCACATCTGGGGCCCGTCTTATCAACGGTTGTACGACAATCTTAGATCAAAATCGTACGATAAGATTTCCAAAATCGTACGATCGTTGATAAGACGGGTCTCAGGTGTTTGCATGTGGATTTATTTTAAGTAATTGTAGAGTTATTGTCATTGACTAAGTGAAAATTTGCAATTTTCAAATTGTGTCGATAGCGCAAAAAATATTTGACCTTGTGTGATGCATCTTTACTGGAATGATATTAAGCCTTTGAAGTTATGCACCTGATATTTCGCTTGTGGTTTTATTCTGTTTTGTCAGAGTTATTGCCCTTGACTTTGTAAAACATTTGCAAGTTTCAATTTGTGTCGTGCGTAGCTCAAAAGGTATTTAACCTAGAGTCATTCAACTTAATAGGGATGTTGGTCAAGATGTGTAGTTGTACACTTGGGATTTTGATTGTGAATTTTTGCAGTAGTTCTAGAGTTATTGTCCTTGACTTTGTAAAAAAAACGTTCCAATGTTATATGTTCCTTGAGTGCTTCAGTTAGAATCAACCAATTTTACAGGAATAATTATCAACATCACTGTGAAGCTGTGCACCTGGGGTTTTGTATGCGAATTTTTCCAGGTTTGTTAGATTTATTGCCTTTGACTTAGTGATAATTTGCAATTTTCAACTTGTTCATGCATAGTTCAAAAAGTATTTGACCTGTAGGCCTGAAACTTTACAAAAAATGTTGGTCACCATGTGTACTTATGCACCTTGGGATTTGCTTTTGATTTATTCAGTACTTGTAAAGTTATTGCCTTTTACTTCTTTAAAAAAAATAGTTTAAAAATTGTGGCATGTGTAGCACAAACGATATTTGACCTAAAGTCATAAGATTGACAAAACAGTGGAGTGTGGGGGTACCCGTGTCCTATGGACACATTTCTAGTTTCTTTTCAATTATTTGTTAAATTCTATTAGAAGCGAGTGATCATTCCCACATAGTGACAAAGCGTGTGGTCATACCGCCTACAATTTCTTATTAAGTAAATTTATTATTTTTGCCAACAAGGAACTTTTTCAGTAGACTGGAGCTATAAGTGAAAAGGGAATTAATTCTTGTTGGCAATAAAATTTAATAAATTTGAAGTGTCTTGCAACGAGGTTTTTTACGTTGTTTATTATTATATACATATTTGAGTAAATTCAATATTTAATTGGAGAATGGCATTGACAGAAAAGTCCATATACAAGGACAATAACATCAGTCATGGACAGTTAAATAAAAGGCAAACTACCAGTTTAAACATGTTGTGTATCCTTTTGTATAATTTTTCACAGTATAGAAAATGTGTGCAACTATTAGGCACAATGGTACTTTTCATCCGTAATTCATAATTGACAAAATATATTCAAAATAAATGCATTGATTTATTCCGCCAAAGTTAATTCGAAAATCCATGCGCAACTTTTTCTTACCAACTAGACACACTGGTAGATAGCGATTGATTTTTAAGATGACATCATAACATGTCCGCTAAAAAATCTTTGCAGGACAAATCTTGAAATACGTAAAAATGACAAAACTGAAAATGTTCCAGGCTCAGTTTGGTTGAGCTTGTCCATGGACGATACTGGAAAGTGCAAGTTACCTTCCACGCCCCTTAGAACTGGCTTCAATACGCAGACATCAACATTTAAACACAAAAATAGTGAAATTAAGAATTTAGAAGCATCATGGAACCTTCAATGTGACACCTTCATGCCATTACATAAAAGCGGCATATGGTCCCTTAATTAAAGGAAACGTATGCCCTTGACATGAAAACAATGAACGGAAATGAACAAAATAGTATATTGAAAGGGGATCAGAGGTTATGATGTCTTCATATCACTGATAAGACGTCAAAAGATCTATTCTAAAAGCAGGCATCATATCCTAAGGGTTATTATAGGAATACTTGAATCACTCAATGTAAAAGAGGACAAATAAAAGAAACTAAACATGTACAAATATGTCTCGATCGAAAATGTAACTTCCTTGACGGGGCGATATTTTACGGCCTCCATACCGCGTAATTTTTTTAAGCAGCAGTGACCTTGATTACACTGGTTTTCTACCCCTTCAAAAATGAAAAGACGATCCAAGCTAAATGCGTTCATTTTCCTCACCCATTGCCTCAAATTTGTAATACTAGTTTGTTTTTTGTTGTTTTTTTTTTGTTTGTTTGTTTTTTTTGTTTGTTTTTTTGACGGAGGCCATCTACAATCAGTTTGTCTTTCTAAAATTAAAAAAAAAGAACTGAATACAATAAAAAGTTTCACTGTTTATTTTAAATTGCAACCTTGTTATCTCATTGCCCATTCTAAAACAAAATACAAAGGATAGCTTATGACAATATAAAATAAACTGTACAGAATACTAGTAGTCTTTTAAACTTCAAGTTATCTAAGTTTTGTTTAAAAATATTTCCTTCACAAAACTCTTTAAGGGTCTCATTATATTTTCTAGTGGACAATTAATTTCTATTAGAATTCACTCAGTTTATTTAACACAAGAACTTACTGAGCTGTAAATTTTGTCCAAAATAACGAGACCACCAATCACATTATAGATACTGTAATTTTACTCTTGCACCTGAAAAAATGAAAACCACACTTATCAGGTACCCACAGTTTATGATGTTCAATACGTGTCCATGTAATCATCAATGTGTTCAATTGGTATATATTAATAGTTTGCATATAGTTTTGCATATTCATTAATCAAGTATTTACGAATATAATTGCCTACCGACTGAGTAGATGTTAGTGTAAGAAATTGAGTACACTTACCGAAACAGACAATAAGAACTCATACATCTCACTGTGTGCCATTAAAAAAGACATTATTATATTGTTTATTCTGTTAAATAGATAAATATGTATTGACAACATAGAAATAACATGTACAAAATAACCAGTTTTAATTTGGTCAAGTGTCTTTTAAAAAGATACTTCCTGATAAATCGACAAATACGATCTATATCAAATTTATTGAACATCGTTATATGCATACTAAACACAACATTTATATTTATTATGATTCAGCAGAAACATATCACGGTGCCTTTAAGCTCTTTCGTATTTCATTTATTTCTCTTCTTGCAAGGTCTTTACAAATGTCTTTATTCACTTCTTCAATGTTTTTATGATCTTGTTGAAGAAAACAATTGTGTATAGTCATTCCATGATATTTTTTTTTAAATTGATAGTCTTTTGAAGAGATCGATGTGTCCTCTTCTCGATAATGTAGCAGAATAAGGATAATTCGCTTTTGCTGTTCACCTACAATTGATAGCCATAAAAGTGGATTTAACAAAAGAAAAAGTGACAAGCATTATTTAAGAAAATGATAAAAAAAAGAATATAGGAATATCTTAAGAAAGTCCAAAAGGTCAAAAGAAAGTCCAAAGCGACATTATTGAAAATGTTGTAGGGTCGGTTAAATTACGCCTGTTCATAGACGGTACTGTCAAGTGCAAAATTACCGTCTACGCCCCTAGCACCGGCCCAGAAAATTCAACCTATTTAAACATGAAAATGGTGAAATTTTAAAATTAGAAACATACGCAGATGTATTAATATGTGCTAATTGTTTTATTTTCATCTTTTTTACATTTACAAGTACTGTAAATGAATAAGTTAAAAAAAAACTTGTCTAATTTTACCATGGGTTTAAAGAGCTCTACCTATGTGAGCATTTCAAGAATTAAGGATCTATTTTGCGAAAATGAAACACAGATTGTACAAAAAAGACGCTTACTATTTAAGTTTTCTAATGTATAGTTGACGTCGGTTTCAAGCCTAGAGTGCAGTAAACATATTGCAATGATTGGACTGTTACCGCCTTCATGAAATTCATCGTCAAAACAATCTGTAATTGGCGTGTTATATCCTTTTCTGTACAGATAGCGTTTTAAATTCTTTGAAAAGGTTTCTGTTTTGTTTGATTTCCAAATGTCATAGATAAAACCATGTACATCTGAATTATAAAGAAAAAAAGCAACCATATACATTTGTACATGTGATCTTTTCATATATCTATTTTCCATTCTTCAAACATGTAATATTACGTAACCTTTTAAAAATTCAGCATTAAATAAGATTCATGACTATCTTTAGGAATATTTACATTAAGGAATACGGAGAAAGAACTTAATTATTATACAACTAATTCTATAGGAATAAAATGCCGAGAATTAGCAAGAAAGTGCATATATCAAGAATGTGCTCATCGTTATGTATAATAACACAACATTTTACCCACTTGCCGCTGCAACTGGTTCGCATACAATCACTTTATGAAAAATGAATAGTATAATTATTTCTCTTTGACAGAATATGAATACTGGAGATTACTGTATAAAGAGAAAATCATTTTTGAATAAGTTCTTGGTAAAGATTATATAAATCATACCTTTATCAGGTTCTGATGCCTTAGTCGTCCTTTTGAATAGATTACCCATTCTCTGAAACCAAAAATGATAAAGTGATAGATTAAAACACTTTTGGAAAATTATGAAAATTTCACTCTTCCATATTCCACTTGTATATCCAGTAATTTTTGTTTTTAGGATCCGGAATTCCTCAGACATTGTCCAACTACTCGTATCATATAACACTATTAAACTCACCGAGACAATTGTGTCGTGGTCCAGCTTTTTAGTACATGATTCACTTAAGCAACGTTGGTAATATCATATGATTTATCTGAATCATATTTCATCTGCCTCATTTTCGTCATTATATGACACTATTAGTTCGGCAAATGTTTAAGCTACACTTGGACAGAATATTAAAACAAAGTTTCAAAACGTTATTATACTTATTCACATTGACAAAACACAAAAATAGTGCCAGCGAATGATCCTAAAATGTTATCATTTTCTTGGATGTATTTTAAATGTGGTTAAAGTATTATTTCATAGCAACCGTTTGTGTCGATTCATTTCTTTTCATTTGCTTTACATTGAATCATTTTTGTCCGTTTACTGTCCATGATACTGGTTTAGAACACAGCTTTGCAATTATTAGGCGTTACTTATACACAATTCCTGCTTATTTTTCTATTGGGTATCTACGGTGTAAATGTTTCAGTTATTACACAGCGGAAACAAAATAAAAGTTAAGAAGTACTGAGGCTCGGCCATTTAGAGGAATTCTACTATCGCGAGATAGGTAGTAGGGTACACTTTAATTAACACTGACACACATTCACGATAGGGAATCACGTGACTTTTACGGTAACGCGTACTGACAATATGGCGGCCTAAACACCTCGCTTCACATGTGTGAAATATTAAAAGCAAAGCAGTTTTGTCGTTTCCCTCTATGTTTCATACGATCAAGGTGTCCGTGCGTCGCGATAGTGTCCTGTACCATCACGTGGTACTAGAAAAAAAACCCGGATGAAAGAATTCCATAGTAGATAAAAAGAAAGTACATCCCGTTAGCGACAAAGCAAACTGTTCCGATGACAAAAATTGTAAAATATGATTATTTTAAAGTGTCATTTCGATTTATTTCCACTATATAATGTTTTTGAAGAGGGATTTTTATTATTGAGACGGTAGTTTTATGTTATCTTCTGGAGGCGTGCTGCTTTAAAATGAGGATGAATGGCATTCCTCTCAGGTAAATAAACATTATTAACATTTATTGAACTTGTCAATTTTGATATTACATAAATTAACACTTACCTAACAGGCTAAACTCCAGGATATTCATGTATGTCATTTATCAGAATAATCACATTTGCCCCGCACCTAATCAGTAAAAGGAAGATAGAAGAAAAGTAAACAGCAAACGTAAAACTTTACCATAATCAAAATCATTTTAATCTCAGTTTTTGTTTTAAGAACCCCTTTATTTTTGATATTTAAAATTACTGCAACACATTACTTGAACCTTTGTCACAAGAGTTGCCAAAGATTTGAAAGTGTAATCGACCTACTTTTTGGCAAAAATAATATTTAACAATGTAATGATTAAATTTAACAAAAAGGAAGTCACTCTTACACACAGCCGTTTTATTTCTTCGTAGAGTGAATGTTCCTACTTGTTTACTTGTCATAATTTCAGTAACAAAACATATGCCTTACATCCTCGATATGGTATCTGTCGACAAGATGTTTGAAGTCTGTATTTACTTTATATTGTTTGATTTTATTAACCTGTCAAATGCAAACAGGTCAATGTACACAATATATTTATCTTCGATATATGATCGGTAAACTTCGTGAGGTGTGCGCAGTATGATATGATTAAATTCAATTTGTTTCTACGAAATAGTTACACTGGCCGTTATAGCGCAATAGTGTAAACTACCGGTTTTAAACTTCTTAATGTCCGACGTATTGTAAGATCCACACCGCGTGTGTCTATGTTTTATCTTCTTTATATTTTCCACATTACTGAAGGTATGATTGATTCTTTGGTTTATATATGGTTTGCACTCATTTTGGCAAAGCTCATACACTTTCTTAAATAGCAAGGTTTATGAATTAAAATCAATAAATTCAATGCCATAAAATACAATACAAAACAAACAAATCAAGTGGCCTATTTTCCACTGTTTTTCTTTCAATCGGTATATTAGTGAAATTAAAACAGTTGACCGAATGATTATATTTGTTTATTTGCTGGTATTGTTCTGTACGTTTCGTAAAGACGTCAACATTGTATTAGTATTTGTACTTTGCGTCGTTAGAATGAGTACAGAAAATCATCTCTTTAGCAGTAATACGAGTATTTTGTTTTGTTGTTGCTAAAACAGCGTCCTTTTAACATTTCTTGTGTCCATTGCAAATATGCGAACGGCACATGGATGGCATTCCTATCGATGTCTGTAACAGTTGAATCATTTGCATTTGGGTTTAAATAATAAGTTCGTGTAAACTTTGTTTCATTGCGTATTTCTGAGTCAAATGGCATCGGTTGCATAAAAAATAAACCCAGAGACCTTCAGACAAATATTTCATACTGGTCAGAAAACGTGACCATTCAAATGTCTTCATACAGTGTAAACACTTACGTAATAATATTTATGTAATAGACGATAGCATGGTATTTTTACTCAGAATCTTATTTATACATTACAAACAATGTCAAACTGCTTTGATAATAATTGGAAGTTATTCCTAATTGCTATTCCTTAGATAGAATTAAACGATAATATGATTCTTTTAATTAAAGACACAAAACAACCAAGTCGTAGCTTGTTGTGGCAAGAAAACTTAAAGTAAAAAAACAAAATCCATATAGAACGATCAAAACGGTAAAACTGTATGTGTTGCACGCTCGGCTTGATTGAGCATGTTCACGGACGGTACTAAAATGCAAGCTAATGTCTATGCCCTCAGCACCGGCTTAAGCAGAATTTAACATTTCAACACAAAAATGATGAAATTTTGAATTGAGAAACATCCGCTGATGCGTTCATATGCCGTTGTCATGATGCCTTCTATGAGGAACGTTCGTTCCATTCCAGGACCTATTGACGGCCCAGAAAAACTATAAAATGTGCCTCACGTGCGCTTTTAACTCCTTATGATACGTAATGCAAGGGTTAATAATGAAAAACAAAATAAACGAACATCGGGTATACTTTTATACAAGAATACCTATGGCTATTTCCTATGCCATACAAATTTATTTGATTTCAAACGTTTTGATTAATTCGTCTTAAATCTTTTAACAAAATCCCCTTTAAAGGGTATTAAAAATATTTCTTATTTACAAATAAACAACATGCAAACTTTAAGTGGCAGATTAAAACGTTCATTTTATCACTTTAGCTTTGATGGCAAAAGTATATATGATCGATCCATCCGTGGCGCCTGTAGTTTTACCCTTTCTATATGTAAAAAAAGTAAAATTGTTTTCAGTTTGCTTCATCTAGACAAATTTTGGAACCAGATGTGTAAAGTTCAGGTCATTATGATGTTTCCATTATCGGCCAAAATGAATAAATTTGAATTTGAAAAATTGAAACAATTTCTGTTGCCCATTTCTAATCCTATCTAAGTTTTAATGAAACTGACGCTCAATTATTTGCATATTTTTTGAGAAAATCGTCTGCAAATAAATAGGAATTTACAGAATTTAACTTTTGGTAAAATTATAAAGTTTCTTACCAAACGTATTCGCTCTGAGGCACACCTTGTTTGTGTTAGTGGCTTTCAGAAAAGTTGAACCAAGTCGTAATTTAAAGTTTCTACCAGTATGATAGCCGGAAATAAAAAATGGAAGTCTGCCATTTAATCCTGTATCCTTTAGATCTTTAAGTATTCCATGTTTTCATGTTGTATTATTAGCTTTTTGAAGATCAGAAAAGTTGACACCGCGTTTTGTTTATTTAAAAAAAACTTCTGTAAAAAAAAGATTATGATTGTTTGTTCTACGTTGTTTACGAAAAACTGACTGAAAGTTAGTTATTATTCTTTTATTATCTTAAAAGCACACAAGGCAATTATTTACAATACTTTAAATTCTTTTAACATACGCAGCTTGTAAGTGAAATCGGGCGGTAATTTGCAAGCTAAGTGCCATCTTTTTCAGGTTATGGAATGAATTTGAATAATAAGAGCTACTTACCAACTGTAAGGAACCTCACCAGATATCCAATTTTAAATGTAATTCAAGAGTGCTAGATATTTAAGACAATACAATACAATATCTTTATTGCTTCATAGGCCACCAGCCCAAAACAAAACATAGTTTACAAGTTATTTGTTTGCATATGTACAAAACAGTGTAAAAGTATTATGGTAATAGTACTATTATTTAGTCAAATACAGTAATACATGTATATCATCGAAATTCACTGCAATCTTAATAGAGAAAAATCTTTCTATAAAGTTTGTCTGGAATAGAAATTGTAATTGACAATTAATTTGATACATTTCCAACGGTTTAACCTTATCCGAAACAAGATGTAAGGCAAAACATGCTAAAACGTAGTTTATCGCAAACTCAAATGTATACATTGAAAAATTTGGAATCAACAATAATAGTCTTGATGTAGAATTTAATCACATTGCATTAACAATTTGCACACGTTTGCTAATGTATAAATAAAGTATAAATGTTCCTTCAATTGAAGAAACCGACACTTTGATTTGTATCAATTTTAGTATGTGTTATGTGAGTTTAACTTCATTTCATTTAAAAGTAAAATTTTCATATACTTAGATGTCATATAAATATTGGTAGAAATTAATTTAAGCAATTTGTTCAGATCTATATTGTAGTGCATAAAATATTAATTTAGCTAAATTTAACAATAGCGATTCTGAGTCAGTATTAATGAGTATGTTAAACTTGTTAATTGATGGTGAAACCCAATATTTTTTAGGAATATACAGCTTCCTTAGAGAGCTATATGAATTGCAAACAAGAACAAAGTGATATTCCGTTTCAATACATTGATCTTCTTGACAGAGTTTGCACACTCTTTCTTCTCTATCAATGTTTCTATATCTTCCTTTTTCTATTTTGAAGGCATGGTTTGAAATTCTTACTTTGGCTAAGGCACTTTTAAATTTTCTTATTTTAACAATTTCCAAATATTTTCGAGTCCAAAGTTTGTTTTAAAGTTAGCGTAACACTGTAGACATTGATAGTAAATTCATCTGGTACTGCTGAAGCTTCTTTTGAATTATTTATTTTAAAGAATCAAACAATTATACATTTCGTCATTAGCTGAAGCACAATTTATTTGTTCCTGTACAACTTAAAATTAAAATGCAAAACTTTGATTATTGTCCGGGACATAACTCTTCAACGACAAAAGATATCAACTTCTAATGTTGAATTTAGATAAACATCATTGAGTACAAGTGCAGTGCAAAAGAACCGATACTATGCCTTGCCAATTTTTGGAGTTATTGCCCTTTGTTTTATACACTTTGAACTTTGTCCGGGACATAACTCTCAAACGACAATGGGTATTAACAAGAAACTTTGTAGGTATATAGATCTCATTGGATAGAAATGTAGTGCAAATGAACCGTAACTCTGCCTTGCCTTATTTTGGAGTATTTACTCTTTTCTTTTTTTACACTTTGAACTTTGTCCGGGACATAACTCTAAAACGAGAAGTGGTATTTACAAGAAATGTTGTAGGTATATAGATCTCATTAAGTAGAAATGCAGTGCAAAAGAACCATAACTTTGCTTTCCTTTATTTTGGAGTTATTACCCTTTGTATTTACACACCTTTGTCCAGGACATAAGTTGAGAACTATAAAAGGTATCAACTTGAAACTTTGTAGATATATTGCTCAGTGCAAAAAAAAAACGTTACTCAGCCTTATCTAATTCTTAAGTTATTGCCTTTTGATAAATTTTACACTTTGAACTTTGTCCGGGACATAACTCTTAAACCACAAGGGATACTAACAAGAAACTTTGTAAGTGAATAGAAATGCAGTGCAAAAGGACCACAAATCTGCTTTGCCTCATATAAGAGAAATTGCCCTTTGTTCACTTTTTACACTTGAACTTTGTCCAGGAAATAACTTTGAAACTACAAAAGATTTAAACAAGAAACTTAAGAGGTAGATAGTTCTCATTAGGTAGAAGTGCAATGCAGAAGAACCGCAACAATGCCTTGCCTAGTTTTTGAGTTCTTGTCCTTCGTTTATTTTACAGTTTGAACTTGGTCCGGGAGACAACCTGAAAACTATAAAAGGCATCAACATAAAACTTCCTCGATAGATATATATCTCTCTTAATCAAATTGCAGTGCAAAAGAACCGTTACGTTGCCTTACCTA